TGAGAAGAATTCAGTGTTGTATTGTGATAAAGGACTAAAACTCAGTCTTAATTTCAAACTCCCACAACTATCTCGTAGAGATATGCCTTCTTTGTAGCTTAAGTGTCCTGCTTTCTTGAATTGCCCAAGCACACCCTACAGAGAAACTCCTCAAGACAAGAAATTGCTTTTAGAATACAGGTATCTGCTTGCTGCTATTGAAGAAAGTGCAAAACAAAACATTGCAAGATTAAATGAAATATCTTTCAGTCCTTTTGATAAACTAAGAAGAAAATTTGAGTTTCTTAATTTGGACGATTATTAATAAGATAGTATTCTTTTTCAACACATTGATTGTAATTCTGCCCCTAAAATTATTAATTCAGTTGTGGTGAATAAGGAATTAAAACTCAATGTGTATTATTGTAAAAAAAAATTATTAAAATTAGAGGACCTACTAAATCAGATTGTGTATGTAATACAAATAAAATTAGTGATGTTTTAGAAACAGTTTGGTTAAAGTTATGTTTTAATGCAAGTAGTAGCAACAGTCCTCATTATGGTTTTGTTTTAATTTCAGACCTCTTACTTCAAATCGATACTACAAATTCACAATCGCTGTTGCTCTGACCGACAACGCTGAGCTCAATTCCGGAGCGTTATACCAGCGATATTCTCTCTGCTCCGGAGCGTTAAACCAGTCCGCGTGCTGTGTTCCGACAGTTGAACATCGCGTGGGTCACTGTACAGAAAGTGTTTCGAACCGTTCTCAAATGTGTCTGTGGCTATGGCAGGGACGTTTAAGGGGCACTGACCTCGCAAATAATACACATCCATCTTTCCTTTCCTGCTCTATAGTATTTGATGTTAAAGTAGTTGTTTGCCATGTTTTCTCCGATTTCAGAATTCAAAAAGCCCGGCATTTCATGTTCCGTTGGTTCGAGAACTGTATTCTATTACAGGGTTGCCAAATATGGCGTTGCTATAAGCGCAATATTCGTACTTTGGGGTTGTGAAAATTGCAACATGGGACTTGCAAATGGCGTCTGTCTGCGGCCACAGCCCGGGATCGGTGAACCTTGCGCAAAGATCTTTTAACTACATTAGATTGCTATCTCGTCCAGTCAAAGCATTGGATCAGTTGAAGCCCGTCGCCACATTAGAAACGGGCAAGAAGCTGACGGGAATTTGAATTCGAGTAGTACCAAGCTCATACTCTGAGGAAATAGTACGCAGAATTACACAAAAAACTGTTTTAAATCATTTAAATCTACTAAAAAATAAAAAGTAATAGTAATAATATTATTTATTTAAACAAAAGCTTAATTGTTACACATGTTTGAAGAGAATGGCACTTAATAACTAGAATTATATTTACATATTGTTAAATAATATCAACTTATTCAGTTGATGTCTTTTACTGAGAGCAAGTATCTTCAGCAAAATGTTTGGCCTGGGAGAAAAGTCTTATTTCTGAGTAATTGTCCACTATTGAATTGATAAGCTGAATTTTATTATAAACATCAGTTCCGGCAGTGGCTTTAGCATACAGATTAGTGCCAGGGAAAAGGTTTTCATTTAATGCACACAACCGCTTTACACTATGTTTCACTTTCTTAACTAACTGTGAAGCAGAAGCACCCTTATTTCTGAAATGGAAAGACAACTGCTTCTCAGTTTCAAGTACAGTTTTGTACACACATTCTGCAGCTGACACAAGACCACCTCTGATTTAACATCAACAAATTTTGTGTACTCTGCAAAATGCGAGTAACTGTGCACAACACTTTCCTTCAATAAAGTATTAACACAATTACAACAAGTAATTCGTTTGGTCAAGGGCCGAACAATAAAGCCACACACATAGTACAGCACATTGTCCCTTACTGTATTAATTGTGGCTTTAGAACATCTCCAATGTTGAACTGTAGAGTATCAGATTCACCATGCATACTCTCACTTTCCAGTTTTTTCCTTCCATTTTGGGCTATCACCACCATCAAGTTCAATGCAATTTGCTGCAGAAGTGGATATACTGTTTTTCTGCAGTATCTGCTTCAGAACTTGGGGTTGTTGCAACCTAATCTCCTCCTAATTTTCGAGAATAATATTGTAATATCTTGAGAAAATCTGTAAGTACATACTTGAGAGGATTTTCAGCTCTGTTAAACACTTCCTTCCGAAAAGAGAAAACTGATTTGACAGCAGTGGCCAAACCAAGAACAAATGTTTTTCTAGGTGAATGGCAAAATAGTTTGCCATTGCTGTCTTTCAGAGAAAATAAATAATTTACGTCTTCAATAATTTGCATTTCTCTGTTAATTATATTGTCAAAAAAGGTTTTTTTAGCCCCTGGCAAAGACACTTCTGGTCAGAGAGTATATATCTTCTGCTATTGAGGAAGTTGAAGATTCGTCCCAAGACCTGAATAAAATGAACAGTAGCTTTATTACTCTGAAACTATAATTTGGGACATATCTAAAAATATAAGTGT